TTGTATTTATTTATTTATTTCTCTATTTATTTTTTAAATTTTTTTCTCTATTTATTTCTGTATTTATTTCTGTATTTATTTCCGTATTTCTCTTAATGATATGCAAATCATGGGGTGGGCCGGGATGCCTCTGTTGTAAGCTCATTGGTTAATCTTTTTCCTTGCTCCATAGCTTGTCCAGCATAGGCGGTCATGTTGAGTCATGACCGCCTGGTGTCATGGGAGGAAATAGTTACTTTTTGTGGAGTTTGGGCTGGTCTTTAATCGGGCAGAAAGCGCAAAAGTAACACTGCGCAAATGAGTGATACGTAGCCTGTCTTTGCCCAATTTGTAGTGGCTTCTCGTGGTTGTACAACGTATACCTGTGTAGGCTACACCACTGATTGTAGAGCAGTGGTGTTTGTTGTTAGCGAGCACACAGTGATCTCAACATGACCGCCTATGCTGGACAAGCTATGGAGCAAGGAAAAAGATTAACCAATGAGCTTACAGCAGAGGCATCCCGGCCCACCCCATGATTTGCATATCATTAAGAGAAATACGGAAATAAATAAATAAATACAGAAAAAAATTCAAAAACACAGAAAAAAAAGCTAAAATAAATAAAAAGAGAAATAAATAAATAAATGCAAAGATAAATAAATAAATAAATTGAGAAATATATAAATAAATACAAAAATAAATACCGAACTAGATAAATAAATGTATGAATAAATACAAAAATAAATATATAAATACAGAAATACAGAAATAAATGCACTTATTCTCATAATTGCATGCATTTCTTTGCAAATTTTATCTTTTTTAAATGTATTTATTTATTTATTTATTTCTGTATATATTTATTGTTTTGGCAGCCACGGCCCTCCATACATTTGTCCTCTCACTGCACACAGAGATGTTGCTGTGCTTTTCTTGACAGTTTTGTCTGTACATTTTATGTATGAACCCAGACCAAGATAAATTATATATAGTTATACAATTCTAAACTCTGCCACAATAACAAAATAGACAGAAATTTAACACACACTCAAACATAAAGTAGTATTTATTAATTGTACACAAGTACAATAAACATTATACAATGAAATTGCACACAATATAGAACTAGTAATACTAACTAAAGTCCCAAGCTAAATTCAGCTAACTAAACTAACAATAAAAGCAACTCACTAATGACTAAAACTACAATATTCAACAACAACGCTATTAAGACTAAACAATTATCTATAATACAAACAGCTATGCTAATAAAAATCTACCTAAATGCTATAACTAATCGCAAACCTGACATCGATGAAAACACTCTTTGCTATTCCTTCTCCAACTCGCTACGGGGGCGTGAACGAGACTGGGCCGTTTATATACCTCAGGGCAGCAGGGCAACTGACGTAAGCAGCCACTGCAGACGTAAGCAGCCACTGCAGACGTAAGCAGCCACTGCAGACGTAAGCAGCCACTGCAGACGTAAGCAGCCACTGCAGACGTAAGCAGCCACTGCAGACGTAAGCAGCCACTGCAGACGTAAGCAGCCACTGCAGACGTAAGCAGCCACTGCTGCGGCCAATGTTGGCGCCAAATTCAAATGTAGTAAATACAGGGCGCCTGCAGATGGCGCCTCACAGACGGTTTTAGGCAAAAAGTTGATCTTTCAACTAATTTGCACCAAAGTGACAAAATTATTACCAGGATATGTAGACAACACTATTGGACACTCATTTATACCATTTATCAGCACAAAAAGGGCAAAATACAGCACACTAGCACAGGAAGGACGTTTCAGCTTACCTTGCTATCGATAGCTAAATGTAGAGATAGCTCACCGTGTACAACGGACAATCAAACTTTTACACGAGTATACATTTCAGTGAGAGCTTTGGGCCAACGGGATACGTAGCTAACCAGTTATATTCAGGATTACCACAGACTAGTCACAAATCAAGAGCTGGGCGATCTGAAAACACTCTCGTTCCGCCGAGCTGCCTTCGAATTCTTTGTTCGGCCTAAAGAGAGTAACGTGTGGACCGACCGACCAGGACGTTGACTTTTGGGGCTTTCTGTGCGATTCCATTTCTCTGTAGTGAGGAGTACGTATTATAGCGGAGCAGCCGGTTTAAAAGATGGGTGGAGTTGTTTTTACCATCGGGTTGGATGTCGCTTCCAATGACGAGACTCGTTGACCAATCAGTGTAAGTCACAGTGTTCCTCTTCAGGCCAAATAGTGCGTCACATATTTACACCTAAAACACATTTTCTCCAAGTTAACAAGATCCTAACACTTTTAGTTGCTGACAAAAGCAGACAAATATTATAGCTCCTTGTGGTGGATGCGGGAACATACCACATACGCTGGACTCGAGAGCTGGCTGTGCTTTTGTTTCGAATGGTCAATCACCTCCTGGATTTTAGTATTATTATATTTTTTTACAACAAACGGCACATTTATTGTGTATTGTTTGCCCTGTTTTGACGACAGTATTTAAAAACCATAAAAAAGGGTTTCTGCTCGTCTCTATCATCAATGTGGACCTGGGTATTTCGCTGCCTCTCGAGAATGAAAGGGAAAGATCATTCTCTAACTAAAGCTTGAAGGAACCAATGAAAAAACTACTAGGCATGTGTATGAAGGTCAAATAGCACTGTCATGATATTTAAAGCAGAGAAAAATCAAATTGCATAATATGGCACCCCACTGATTTAGGCTCTTTTTATGATGCATTGCAAAAAACAGGCACATTTTGATGAAAATTCACTTTTGTAAAAATGTCCGTACAGACTAAAACAAATTAATGAAATCAATCAATTTTTATTTATAGTGCCCTTCACAACACCCAAAACAACCAAAGTGCTTTACAGTAAAATCCATAAAAACATCCATACAATCAAATAAAAGTATTAACAAAGCATAAAAAATTGCCAGTTGGCTATAAGGCTAAAAAGTCAGCATTCTAGCTGTTAAGTTACATTTTGGTTCAGTGTAACATCTTAAGGCTATCATAGTCTGTGGTCTTGCTGACCAGAGTGCTAGGGTCAGTGACTTGTCATGAATATTCATCTGGTCTCACGTCCTCACTGCCCATTGAGCAATGGCGCTCTAAAGACAAGCCCGCTGAAGGAGAAGGCAAGAGGGCTGTCTTTGGGGGTTGTTCCGCTGTGGGAGGGGGTATGGGATGGACTGGACAGACTCTCTTCTCTTCTTCCTGTCTGGTCCCGGTGAATAGGTGATTATAGCAGCAGATGTGTCATTAACTCCTGCCTGTATTCAGTGCGGATGTAGGCTCCACATTTCACACAAGGGTCCTGTCTGTCAGCTGTTCCTCTAACAGACAGGAAACTCCACTGTGACAAAAGGGCATAAAGGAAAACGGGTTTAAGAACAACAGGTTACTTACAATTTGGTGTGGCCAGAGAATTAGCTTCCTCAAACTCTTATGATAGAGATGTGGTGAGGCGAGTCCTATATGCTGGCAGCAGGGATCATGTTACAGGAGAGAAGTCGTTCCGTATCTCTGCTTGTAGGCAGTGTAAATTTTGTTGACGAAATATTATCGCCATATTTTTCATCATGAATATGTTTTTGGTGACAGATAGATGAGTTGAAGCCCTGGTTTGATCTTTAAAGCGTTCAAAAATAGTTCGTTTTCAGAGTTATGACTCTCTGCAGAGTCCTGTTTGAGACAGAGGCAGACAACGGGCGGAGTCTATGTGCGCAGTGTGTTTTAAGCAGCGGCAAAAATGATGGACTTCCATCATGTTTAGTAAAGCTGTGAGCTGTTGTGAACCAGTTCTGAACCAGGACTGAGCCAGGGCTGAACCTGAACCAGGATTAACCAGTTTACCTCGAGTTTAACAACCCCTTCGATTATTAGACTGAAATTAATATATAATAATTGAACTTATTATTAAATTCTAATCCTTTTGTTTTACTATTTCAATTTGGAGAAAGTAACTTAAAAGTAATGCAGTAGTAGTATAATGATTACAATTCAGATACAGTAATATTGTAGTGTATTACATTATTTTGAAATAACAGTAATAAGTAATACATAATGTATTACGTTTTTGAAGTAACATGCCCAACACTGATTAACACTGGGTGGCCCCTTTTGGCTGTTTCTTACATAAAAGTGGAAAGAGAAGCCGCGGGAGTGAGCTGCCAAAATGCACATTTTAAACTTAATTGTTTTTAAGGTTTGCAACTACTTTCACTGCACACTTGTTCACTGTAATGCCCTCTACAAGTGTGCAAGGGCCAACATAATAGATGTTGGTCTGGGGGGCCTGATGACCTAGGGCCGGCCCTGTAGAATGATATTATATTATAGATTGCTCTAATGTAAAGTTATAGCTACCCGTGTTACGTTTGTCATCGTATGCTACAAGCGATAATACTGTACGTATTTGTACAAAAAAAGTACTTTTTAGTTGACTAAAATGGCTTCATATTTTCGTCGACTCAATCGCTCAAATTTTATTTATAAAGCGCTTTTCATACAAAAAATGCAACACAAAGTGCTTTACAGTTTAGTTAAAACAATCCTATGCCCAGCCCTAAACCCCACCACCCCACAGCTGTGTGCAATAATTTGTATGCAATTGTTGGGTGTCTACAATGATGTGGCCTGAGTGGGAATGCAAGTTGTATTTATTTTTTCTTTTGTTTCTGTTGTCTGTGCTGTATTTAACCCTTGTGACCCTAACCCTATGGGACTACAAATGGAAATTAGACTTTTCGTCTATTATCTGCCATGTTTATATTCATGTTTCTAATGTCTGTTCATTGACATGCACTGTCCCATTCAAATGAATAAATAAATATTGTCCTTCAGGTGATGGCGTGGTGGTGTGAGCAGCCAGCAGTGCGTGTGTGGAGATGGTTCTAATATACAGAGCTTCCAAGGACTCAAGAACACTTCACCAACCCCCTTTTTATATCAAACTTTTTTTTTACTCTTGAGTTACCTATTTGAACTTTGAGTCTTCCCATCTGTGACGCCACCATGCCGAGCACATTTCGCCGCCAGATCAAGAACACAGTAAACAACTACACTACTGTGGAACGCAAAGTAAGGGAGGCTACGTCCAATGACCCCTGGGGCCCCTCATCGTCCCTTATGTCTGAAATTGCGGACGCCACCTATAATGTCCAAATCTTTGGTGAGATCATGGGCATGATCTGGAGACGCCTCAACGACCATGGAAAGAACTGGAGGCACGTGTACAAGGCCCTAACCCTGCTGGATTACCTGATCAAAACGGGGTCGGAGCGAGTGGTGGTGCAGTGCAAGGAGAACATCTTTGCCATCCAGACGCTCAAAGACTTTCAATACATTGACAAGGACGGCAAGGACCAGGGCATCAACGTGAGGGAGAAAAGCAAGCAGCTGGTGGTGCTGCTTAAGGACGAGGACCGGCTCAAGGCAGAGAGGTGAGTGTCCTTATCTATCCTCTCCTGTATCTGAGACTTATAATTTTCGACATTGAGTCAGATAACACCAGGGTTCTCGCCAGCATTCCTGGTATGGTGTTATGTTTTGGAACATAACACCGGGAAGTGGAAAGCTAGTGGCAAGCGGAAGTCGGCTAGATAGCAGTTTTTTTTTAAGTAAACGAGCAAAGCGGACTGTACGTTGTGTAAGGCAAAACTGTCACGAGGTGGGTCTGAAACAAACACAGACTTCCACACTTGATCAAACATTTGAAAACTCCACCACGCAGAGTACAACACCTTTAGTAGCACCAAAGCTATTTCTTTGTACCATTTGTATGAGTGGAATATGACAGTGGCTCTTATTGTTGACTCCTAAAACAAAAGCTATAATCTTTAATTGTTGAAGTATTTTCTTATTGTTGAAATGAGAAATGAAACATATTAAATTTCAGTTGTATTAGTTGTATGAATTCCCAGGGATAACACAATGCAGTACTTGTTTTGGTATTAGGTTTCGGCAAGTACTCAAATTAAGGTACTTGTATCGGTTTTTAAAAGATTGGTATCGGTGCATCCCTATGTAAAATTCTATCAGTAAAATATCGGTCAATGGATATCACCCATCTCTACCTGTTTGTGTTGATTGTGGGGGGCGGGCGAGCAGGTCCATTTTGAACAACCAAATGTATCTAACACAATTAAGTTAGAAAGATGCCTGATGAATTTTCAACTGCCTAAAGAGAAATAACTCTTGTATTTGTATTACGCATGTGTAACATGTGTAATTCCACCAAACGCTTTGGTCATTAATGTGACCAAAGCGATTAATGTGAATATACTGTAATTATATGTTTATATTTTATATTCTGTGACTTCAGATCTCAGGCACTGAAGACCAAAGAGCGAATGGCCCAGGTGACCACAGGCAGCAGTATGGGCTTTGGCCGCGGCTCATCTCAGCCCAACCTGGCTACCTACAGCGAGGAGTACGGCCGCTCCGAGGGCTCGCCAGCATCCTACCACGGCTGTACGTATTTCTGCTGACCTCACAACCGCTGTGTGTGTAACTTTGCCCTACATCTTTGGATCAGGCCCCTCCCCCTCATCCCTGTGCCTCTCAGAACTGCTGCATTCCACAACACGGGAAGGCTTGCTCACCCCCTGAACAAATGCTTTTCTTCACAGGAGACGGGGTGTTACAGAAAATGCAGGTTTTTATGTCTGTAGAGATTCTTTGTCAGAACATTGGGCCTCATTCACGAACGGTTCTTAGGAACAGATTTGTACGTAAATCCTACTTACGCGGTTTTTACGAAGAAAGTGGCATTCACGAATATTTCTCGTAACCAGAATTTCTCTTGGGCAAGTACAAATCCTACGAGTCCTCAGGAGCACTCGTACGCATTCAGTGCCGACATGTTCACACGCCGGAGTTGTCCTCTTTGGTGAAGTTGAATAAAAATACAACATTCCAGTGATATGTCCGTCATATCGATGTATGTATTTATTTATTTGTAGTAATCTTTATTAGTAATCTTTATTTATATACCGCCTTTTTCACTGCAGATCTGGCCTACTTTTTAATTCATTTTGAAATGAAATGTGCCAACGCTTTATCAAATACATTGGAAATCTTGCCGTGTATTAGTGACCCCTTCCTATTTATAGGGGGCATTTCTTTATCCACGGGCCACAGAACAACGGCATATATACTGCTGCTGCAGGAGGTTACGGGATCCGCGCTGAGTCTCTGCAATGGTCTCTCCCATGGATCTATACGGGTCTGCACTGGTCTCTCCCATATACGGGTCTGCACTGGTCTCTCCTATGGATCTAGACGGGTCTGCACTGGTCTCTCCCATATACGGGTCTGCACTGGTCTCTCTCCATACGAGTCCGTGCTGCATGCTCCTGGATCCATACGGGTCCGCGCTGGTCTCTCAAGTCTGGTCTATGCGGTCTATCTTCGGTCCGCGCTGGTCTCTGCGCACCGGTCTCTCCAGTCAGGTCTCTCCAGTCTATGCGGTCTCTCCTATAGGTCCGCGCTGGTTTCTGTGTGCTGGTCACTCCAGTCTCTCCTCGGGTCTGCATTGGTCTCAGCGCTGGTCCGCGCTGGATCTCCTCCCAGGGTCCAAAATATTTTGAGATTAATCTCAAAACATTTTGATATTCATCTTTAAAATAATACATAATATATTTTTAAATTAAGCTCATAACATTTTGAGATTAATCTCATCATATTCTTAGATTAATCTCATAATTTTGCTAGTTCGACTTTATTATCATAATATTTCGACTTTTAAGTCAACATTTTATAACTTTATTCTCAGTCTGGTAAAAGAAGAAAAAAGGGTGACTCTTTTGCTCCGTGTAACTCTTTGCTTTAGGCCTGTTGCTGTTTCCTCAGCCGTCTGCACACGGCCCTGCATCCCCTTATATGGGCATTAGTGGGCGGTTACTTATGCTAAGTACCTATGCTAATGAAGCACCTGGCACGCGCGCTGTACTTACGAGGAAATGGGATTCATCAATCTGAGAGAACAGCTGCGAACAATTCAGCGGCTTACGAGTGCGTTGATGAATCCCACGTGGGGACTTCTTAGAAATCTACTTAAAGAAGCTATACCCGATTTTTTTTCTAAGTAGTTCATAAAAATGCTTTTTACCACATACAAGTTGTATCATAATACATAATTTAATTGAAAACTTGAGGTCATTGATTCAGCTGTGTATGAAATTTATGCCGTGAAAAGTGCTGAGCAGAGTCTGAGCGGGCCGCTCGTTCTCCTCCACTCACAGAACGAGCAGCGACCAGCCTGCGTCCTCTAGCCTCTACAGCGCTGCTAACACCAGGGCTTCGACTTCAAAATTCGAATATAATTCTAAAATACAAAAATATATATATATTCGAACAAATATTAGACAGCCCTTATAATTCAAAATATATTTAATGACTGCAAATAAAATAGTTAGCTCCCAAAGGTTTCACCGGGACGTGCTAGGCAGGTAACAGCTAAGCTAGCTAGCTGTTTCATGGTAACTTCCGGGTTTTTCGCGATCGCTTTTTGTCACTTTAAAACAGTATTTTTGTCATGAAAACGTTGACAGCAAATTCTGAAATCGTCCGTGCATGTGTGTTAAGGATGTATATGTATACTGTATTGTCCGATTAACGTTTAATGGTGTTGATTGATAGATATGTAGTTGTTTATTGAGCGTGGCTAGCTCAGCTAGCTTCTCTACACAGACAAGTGTGTAGTGACAGGCGCTGATAGCTTGTTGTTCTTGCAAAGTAATGGCAGTATTTTACACACCTGAATTACAAACAGAGACTGCATTGGGGCTGCGGTCATTATTGATTAGAGAGTTCTGTTATCAAGAAAAAATTATCGGAAGAATTGCATTCAAGTCAATGGAGTGCTGCTGCTGTGAGGAGCTCTATAACAAATTATAATTAAATATTAGAATATATTCTAATGTTTAAATTGATACATTTGGACGCGAAACTAGCGGTATTCTTTTACTTATATATTGTGTTAGCAGTGCATTGCTTTAGTACCATTTCATCAGTGATTGTTGTTGAGCTTACAAGAAGTTGCGCTAATGCTAATGTTAGCATACGTATCAGATCGCAAATAAAACTAGGTGGCTCCGTGTTATGAGAGCGTAGGGGAAATGAGAAGCCTGTGAGCGAGTTGGGGGGCGGTGCTAAACACTCAAACATTGCAGAAGCGGGTATAGCGCCTTTAAGGACAACTTGAGAAGAAAGTTGAGTAGTTTCTTACGAAGTTATTCGTGAATGAGGCCCATTGATATTAAGGCCCTGTTTATACTGAGACGCTGCGCAGACGTTTCCAGGCTATTAACAGAAACGACCAGGCTCCTAATGCAAATTTCTCAGCGTTCACATGAGGTTGAAAAACGATGTAGTTCTAGCGCCCGGCCAGTAGTGGGCAGAGAAACTTTACTACACTCACACGACCCCCAGCCCCCCTCTCGGCAGTGTACTCACTTCCTGTGCCAGACCCTCAGAACGCACCAACATCATTCTGCCTTTTAACAGCAGCTGTGAAAATGAAAACTGAACCTAGAGCTTCGCGTGGTCTCGTTTGGACGAACGAAGGTGTAGACTTATCCTCTGTGCAGCGCTGGAAGCCCACGGAGCTAGTTAGTGTGACCGCCACCATTGTTGTTTATGTTTGTTCTCTGCTACTGCGCATGTCCAAATTTACATGCGGGGAGCAGCGGGGAGGTGGGGGTCAGAGCAGAGGGGGATTTCACACCTTTTTCCCTCTCGTGCAGCGTATCTGGGTTGTCCCACTTTGCAGGCTGGTGTCACCCCCCTGTAACACAGTCTTCGTATGAACGGTTGGTAGCAACCGACATCCAACTATACCGTTTTACTGCCACATTGTCTCCGTGTAAACACTGACTATTTGCATAGTATATGGGAAGGAATACTTTAACTTGACAGTGAGAAGTAAACAAAAGTTTATTACGTGGATAAAAAAAATATTTCTGCTGAAGATAGCAGCAGAACAAAACAAATTTTGATAGTTGTAAAAAAAAAAGAAAATGGGGGAAAAACATGTTTATGCTGTTCACATTACAAATTGCCTGGATACAAGATATTATAGAACAACGCATATTGGTTTACAGATTTTCACATCTCATTGGTTTACAGATTTTCACATCTTGTTGGTTTACAGATTTTCACATCTCATTGGTTTACAGATTTTCACAAGTAATTTAACATTTACTACAAAATGTACAGTTATTTTTTGATAATCCATTCAACAATGCTGTTTATTTATGTACAAGTCTGGAAAGGAGCTGACTATGGAGGCACCATTTTGTGATGCTGAGCTCTGACAGTTGGAGCCTCAGAGGTAGAAGTGGCCAGCTGAGTCATGCAGTGAGGAAACTGAAAAATGAATTGACCAATTGGACTGCGGCCAGTCTACACATGTGGGCGGGGCCAAACAGGATTTTTGGCATTCCATTGAGCCTTCAGTTGACTGTTGTTGCAGTGTGAACGAGCAGCAATGAGACTCATTTGAACACGAATCACTGAAACAGCCAGCATATTTATATTTTATTTTATTGTGGAGATACATTACGATATACGGCTTTTTTGTTTTTGCATTTTGGTTTTGTACCAAATACTGTAATCTCAAAGCCACTGACATTACAATTACGGTTCCTCATATCAATGCCAGATTTTAGTAATGAAGCTAAGGGTGCACTGCTTCTTTCACAGCTGCTGTAACTGTGGTATGTCTGACATTCTGTCATAGTATCCATAAGTGGCCTGTTCCCACGGTGATGCCAGTGGATTCATTTATTTGAGTTGGCTTGTCAAGCTTAGTACACACTATGATTTGGCATTGTTTGTTGTCCCAGGTTAGTCCAGTAAATCTCCATGCTTTATTTTTTTGTATCTAGTAATAATAAGTCTTTGTTTATGCATTTCACAGACCATCGACACATAAAAAACGTAACATAAAAGGTGTTGAAAACGGGGTATGTTTAAGACCCACATTTTTTTTTGTCTGGCGGGCATTACCACACAGATGAGGGCCAGTTGCTTCCATGCTTCTAGCAATATGGACTTGCTACTCAATAGTTCTATAAGGTCTCTCCAATGGGAATTTTTGGGGTCACCAATGCTGCTCATCATCATTATTTATCGGCCATTATCAAAAATAAGAGGACGGATGTGGAGGATAAACTGTAGGTATAATATCCTACTCCAGAGGAGCCGAAGGGCCAGCGTAGGGATCAGACTTTCACCTACAGGGACTTGTCATAAGCAGAGGGTGAACTGCGGATTTTAAACTGATGAAAATCACAGTATGTAGCATAAGCTGTGGGTTCTATTGACACACAGAATAGTCTTTTGTTAATTCAGTAAATAATACATGAATATATTTCAGGATTCAGCTGTATCAGTAACTATGCACCATTCTTGTATAATAAAAATACATAAAGAGAGGAACAGTGGCCAAGATTCACTAATATGGATTTGAGCTGATATGTGTTACAATTTGCTTTGACGTATTAGTGTGTCAAATGGCACAGATAATATTATTAAAACATATTATTTTTATGTGTCTGGGCGTGTATGCTCAAACTGTTGCTTTCTCTTCCCGGCAACAGATAAAGTGGAAGATAATGGATGGATGGATGAATATTACGAATCTTGTCAATAATCTAATGTGCGTATGGTGATTTTATCCATGTGAACGGCCCCTTGGTAATCTGTGGCTCAATCGGAACACTACTTCAATGGAGAAATGGTGTAGTATACCACCTGACCCTTTTGTTCCATAGAAATTCATAATGACTTTTATCTTCCTCCATCCAGCAGAGGAGGCACATTGCGAGAGGTTTAGCAACTGCATCTCAATAATCTGACTACATTCAACAATAAAAAACATGTTGGGTTTTACCTTGTGATAACAGTATTAAATTGAATCCACTTTGCACATACTTTGGCTTTTGAAGACTAGAAATTTGGCTAGCCTTATTCAGTGTTATTGTTTACTTTTCTGCCTAAAAAATATTATCCGGTTATTACCCCACTCTTCCAGTGCTACATTAGCCTGCTGTTTGATTGTGGCTACAGTGCCATATTGATGAAGATATGCATCATGCACATTTTGGTGCCTGAAGTGCATCCAAAACATCCCTAGCTGTGTGGTCTGCATAGAGCTAGAAGCAGATGTGAGATTACACTGTAAAGCCTTTCCTGCCACTTGTCTCCTGTCCCTGAGGCCCCTTGCTAAGAGATGAACTCTGGGACAAGTGGCTCTGTCCCAAGAGGTCATGGGTCTCCAAGAGAGTGCTTGGAGTTAACAAAATGAGCTATAAATATGATAGCTAGAATAAATAACTAAAACAAATGTAGCAAAATTAAAACGTCTTAATGAAAATCTGTGTTTCCCTTTCTACAGCGACCTCCCCAACCCCAGGGTCGGAGCTGGAGCAGGCCAGACCCCAGACCAGTGGAGAGGAGCAGCTTCAGATCCAGCTGGCTCTGGCCATGAGCAGAGAGGCAGCTGAACAGGTAGAAAGCCAACATTGTCCACTGCTACCATTCACAATTTTCTATCCTTTGTTCCTTGATCTGTACCTTTCAATAACGGCTCTAAATCTTGTCTGGGTTTGTGTGTTCAGGAAGAGCGCCTACGCAGGGGGGACGACTTGAGACTACAGATGGCTTTGGAGGAGAGCAAGAAAGGCGGGGAACCGGGCTCTGCTAAACTGCCCAAGAAAAAGAAGGAGGTAAAGTAATTATGTGGGCTTCATCTGGTAAAACTATTTTTGAATACTCAGTTGTAGAGTCTGACATTATTTAGACAATATAATGTTTTCTGCAGAGATGTAAAATGTAATGTATTTTATCTGGTTAGGGCTGGACAATAAATCAAATTCTAATTAATCAGCCTTAAACATTTTCATTGGTGTGAAAATTGGGAAATTGAGGTCAGTTTCTGACAAGTTTCTTCTCAGGTTTCACCTCCGCTTCTCTGATCTTCTGTTTAAATGAGACGCAAATTCAAACGGAGCGGTCCACCAAAAAACAGTGTTTCCAGAAAATTTTGGTGGGATACCGTACTTGCGGTGTCTACACCGTGAGCTTTTCCAGTGTCTATTCTGAGGCTGAAGATGTGTAAAAGCCCTCACCATACACTTTATATAAATAGACATGATTCCCCAGATTGGTGCCCATTAGCTGCATGTGTGCCAAGTCCACAGTGGCCAGATGCATTCAAGCAGCATTACCTAACGCCAACTTTCCTAACGCCAACTTTTTAATTTCATTAATACGTATTTTTGTACCAACAGTTCTGTAACAATAACATGTGAACAAATCGGATTGCAACATGAGTGTCTTTATCTTATTAGAAAACATACTTTTCTTACATACCGAGAGCTGATTGACTGAGTGAGGATGGGCCCCTGTCTGATCAAATCTAACAATTTCAGAGTGATATGACAGATTTATTCCACAGTTTTTTGTAGTCCCCTATTTGAAATGAGTAATTTGAGCAAAAGCACAATCATTATAGTCACAATAACTGTCAGCTAAATGTTCATACCGTGACAACCCTGCATGCCAGTGAAGTATGTGTTCAGTATTTGGCGTTTGAACTGAAGCAGCGGAGTGTGACCCCTGCTTTGTCTAGCTCCATAATGACTGGACCCCCATCTGTACGTGTAACGTGTGCAAGATAATGAGCCACACACATCTGGCCCTTTGTGTCACATCCTTCTGTCACTGACTCTGTTTGGTGTGTGTCTCCTCAGCCTCATTCGACTCTGATGGATCTGATGAATGTCCCTGAGCCCGGTGCCAGTGCTGACCCCTGGGGCTCTGGGGCCAGTGCCGGGGCAGGGGCCGCGGCCGCTTCTGCTGACCCTTGGCAGCCCTATGGTAAGAAAGGAGGGAAGGAAGCAAGATTTACTGCTAGACTAAACATTTTGCTTTCTTGTCTTATTTTCTTGTATACGCTTACTTAGACATTTTTTCACCAGAACTTATAGGATAGTTATATTCCTCTATTGCGAACGCCTGGAAGCTAGTTGAATCATTTAGTAAACATGACAGGATTGATCCGTTTCTTGATTGTGAACAGCAATTCTGCATTCTGAAAGCTGATTGTGATAAACCCAGGACTACTAATATGTAATTAGGTTTTGAGTGAAAGGGTGTATTCAGACCTGCACATTTGGTCCACTTTAAACGGACCAGAATTTGTTTGGAACTCTGATCAGAAGAGCAAACATAGGCAGAGCAGACATGCAGCACGTACGAGCTCAATATTTTCCTCCAATTCCGTATCTATTCTGCGCGAGCTCTCGCTGTCCAATAGGAGCGCCGATCGTCACACGCGTCGATATGTTTATAAAAAAAGTTCACTTGCAAAAAGTACAGTCTGAATACGAACCGGAGCAAAAGAAGCTTGGTCCGCATTTGGTTCGGAACAAGCAAGCGGAGCAAAGGACTTTTCTGCTCTGAATACACCCAAAATCTTTGTTTATGCATCTACTTGAAAAACTTTAATGAAGAATTCAATGAGAATTGGCCCAAGGTCCAAGCATAAAATTATTGTTTTAGAAGTTGCTGTGTAATTAATTGGAAATATTGGAAAATTAACTTTTTGTCATGATTACTGTTTACAGTAGTTAAAGTAATTACATTTAATGTCTAACTTAATTCAGCTTGTAAATGTTCCCTAATGCCTATATTAAATCTATTTTGGATCTATTCTGACAATCTGCACGCAACCCAAGGGAACTGGGTGGTTCTTCTGACTAAATTGGAACTACGGGATCATTTGGACTAGCTTCTGTTACAAGTACAGTAACAAACGTTCATATATACATGTATGTCACCAAAAGGTTCCTGTTTTCACTGGAAAAAACCACCCGCACAGGAGGTAAAAAGACCCCAAATTCTGGCTGGTTCTCATTTATGTGTGAATGCGCCCAAAATAGGAACAAGAACGAACAAAGTACCTGGAGCTGGAAGGGTTCCTACAGTCTCTCCTGTACACCTTGTGTGTGAAAGGGTGTAATGCTCCCACTTGTCAGGGAGTCTTTGTTCCACAGGAATGCTGTCTCTCTGGTCTTGTAGCATTACTCCAGAGGAGCCGAAGGGCCAGCGTAGGGACCAGACTTTCACCAACAGGGACTTGTCATAAGCAGAGGAGGAACTGCGGATTTTAAACTGATGAAAATCCCAGCATGTTGCATAAGCTGGGTTTTCTATTGACACACAGAATAGTCTTTTTTAAATTCAGTAAATAATTAAGTAAATAAATATATTTAAGGATTCAGCTGTGTTAGTAACTATGCACCATTCTTGTATACTAAAAAAACATAAAGAGGGGAACAGCGGCCAAGATTCACTAATATGGATTTGAGCTGATATGTGATACACAATGATTCAGCAGTAGCCATGTAGGCGTTTTGGCTCACTACCTTGATCTGTGTGGTGTCTGGGGGGCGTAAGTCATACAGCAAGATGGTTTTAGATCTTGAAAACATCTTTCCTAATTCTCCACACTACCCGTCTCCTCCAGGCTCTGCCCCTAAGCCTGCTGCTCCAGTGGATCCATGGGGCACCGGCGATTCTGTTCCCCCAGTGAAGAGCACCGATCCCTGGGCTCCAAGCTCTGGCCCTGTCCCATCCGACCCCTGGGGCTCTGCAGCAGCCCGCCCCAAGACTTCCAACACAGGTTACCACCCAACATGTTTATTATGGTCTGCAGATTATCTATTCACACGGCAGGCTGTTTTTTTGAAGTGTAGATAGCCATTTGGAAATTGTTTTACGTAGGGGTGGGCGATATGGACAAAAATAAATATCTCTATTTTTATTCCCAACTCCCGATAACGATCATGTCATGATATCTTTAAAATCAATCATCAAGCTTCACACTTCTTTGCAAAACATGCACAAAAATATTAACATTAAAAATCAAATTCGAGTAACACAGAAATAACACATCTAAAAAAGCTAGTTCAATATTTACTGAAATGTACAAATAAAGCAGTGATTGGCTTTTTATGTACACATTAGACCAAATGGGCATCTGTCCTTCTCTAATAGTAATGTGTATGTAAAAAGGAAATGGACGATAATACAAAAAAATGACTTTCACGATATTATTGTGAAAGTATTATTCATTTTTGTCTGATAGAAATGTGTCATAATTTTCAGCATTTTTATTGTGTAGTATATGGATTTCTATTCTATTCATTTTTTATCTAGGGTTCGACATGCTATTGCAATTTGTTTGAGTGGACAAATAAATTAGATAATAAATCAGAACTCAAAACTAACACTTAACTAAATCTAAATCAGTTTTGCGATGCTGGATGCCCGACTGTTAAATGTACTTGTATTTGTATATTATTTGTAACTAATTGTAGTTTGAGTCAGTTGCAGTTTAGCACCAAACCTTCTACACCAATTGACTGATGGTGTTTCTCCCCTCATTTGCAACAATTATACAGTGTTCTCTTCAAAGCAGATGTTTCCCATTTAAATTGTCTCCATAAAAATGTTTCCATACTGGACCACGCTGATTCATGTCCGCACATTGTCTTGTGTGTTCATATGTGTCATTGTCCGTATATTGTCCCCTCCAGGAGGCTTTGACCTGTTCACTTCATCCAATGGTACGTCTAAAGAGGACTTCTCAGAGTTTGACAGTCTGCGCTCCTCCTCCTCTGTTCCCACTGGTACTCACCCTGTCTTTGTCTTTTCTAATCACATGGAGTCCACCTTGCTTTTGCCCGGTGTCTCAACTCTGTTTTGGCACAGGAATGTCTTTGTCTATATGTCGCCTAAGCCGGACCAAAGAAAATGCTACCATTTAATTATTGAAAAAGATAAAATTAAGATGTACTGTGTTCTGCCGGATTCACTTTTGCCTGAAAAATTATGAGAAATTATCAGTCTTGCGAGAAAGTTACATTTTATATTTTGCATTAGGCTTTGTTCCGTTTAGACATGTTTATTTTATGGCTTGAGATCAAATGTTTTCCTGCATTTGTTCAGAATCTTTCATAAATGGAAATGCAACCTCATGTAACAAAAGGCTTATCTAATCAATATTGTTTTGGTTGTAACTGGAATCTGTCCATGAGAGTTTCTGTAAAATTCATGGCAGCTCTGTGTTTTCTTTGGGTTTTGGCACTTTGTGAATAACCACACTTTAACAGCATTATTGCAGATATGTGAAACTAGTTAAACGGCAAAGTGTATTTATCATGGTTTGTCACAAACATTTACTGACATTTATTCTTTGCCTTTTGGGAAGGAGACAGCTTACCTTTCTTTGTTTTGCTGACATGAAAGAGCCTCTGTCATCAAAACATCCAGGCTGGCTCTGATCTTTTCTTAGCATGTGTTCATCCAAAGACTTTGAAAAATACTACAACGTAAAACATTCTTGGCATATTTTATTAATAATAATAATTGGAAAGTGACTACAATTAATCAATATTGATGTAGGATTTTCAGAAGTCTGAGGTGTGAAAAGTGGTTACAATGACAGACCTTTGTCAGTCGGATCACAGTCTTGATTTTTATAACTTTTGTCTCTAAGGTAATGGAGGCATAGCGCCCTCTCAGGGCAGTCTGGTAAACAGTGGCAGCCTGGACATCTTTGACCCTCTGCCCACATCCACCTCTCTGAACCCCACCAGAAAGACCCCAGAGTCCTTCTTGGGGCCCAACGCAGCCTTGGTCAATCTGGATTCGCTTGTGTCCAAGCCAGTCCAGCCCGCTCCTGTGGTCAACCCTTTTCTGGCATCAGCTGGTAAGGCACACATGTTCATCACTGATTAAACTTGTAACTCTAGTCTCATGAAATTCATATTTTCTGACCTCTTGTGTTCAATGGAAGAAAAAAATTATATAATATATAATTTAGCCATCATGCTTTCTATCGAATTCACTGCCATTCAAAACTCAATGCAGTCAATAGACATTTTCTTTGTTTAAAGGGACTGTATGTAATATGTAAGGGATAATCTAGAGAACGCAGGTCATTATCGGAAAATAAGGGGTCCGATTCCGCCCTGAAGGTTGTTACCATTCCAATCCAACTTTTGTTGCCAAAATCCTCCTGGCTCTGATAGCACTGATAATTTCTTATAGATAGATAGATACTTTATTGATCCCCGTAGGAGAAATTCAGGTGTCCAGTAGCAGCAAAAACAATAACGCATCCATCCACACAAACAAAACAAACAAATTGATTATTCTAAAAAGCAAACAATAGTAATAATAAAATGCAACAGCACTTAAGGTCACAGCAGCATAGGTGGTACAGGACAGGTCACAGCAGCAGAGGTGGAGCAGGACAGGTCACAGCAGCAGAGGTGGAGCAGGACAGGTCACAGCAGCAGAGGTGGTATAGCTGCTTGGTGTTGAGCTATGTGCTGTGCTATTTTTTGTTTTAGAGTTTCATTAAAAAGATAAGCCAATAACATTTTACTTATCAATGTATAACCCTAAATAAAGCCAGCAGTTGTCTCAGAGGACGACAATGACCATTGTCAATTGGTCATAAACAGATCTGAGTATCAAACATTTAGAACACGGTGCATGCAATAATAAAACAAACTCATTGGTGTTCATTCATAAATATCCAAAAAAATCAGGTTGGGAAGCAAAAAAACATATAGGGAAAACATGGCAAACGTGCAATAGATTATTAAAAGCGTGGTAAGAAAAGCAAAAGATGTTGAAGCAACATACTGGATATATTGGAATGCGTTACCTCGCGTTTCCTTATTTCTGATTGTATTAAATGAATTATGCATTTTTTTTACTTGAATGAATCATTAAACAAAGAGTGTACATATACAAATATATATGCATGTATACACACACATGTGTGTCTGTGTGTGTGCGTGTGCACGTGCGCATGTGTGTGGAAGATGGATTAACTAAATGGCAAACCAAATCACACATTTACTTTCCTGCTGTCTCCAGGTGCAGCTCCATCCTCTGTCCCTGCAGCTAACCCCTTTCAGGTGACTCAACCGGCCCCTCCCACTCTGAACCAGATGCGGGTGAGTCCCATGCCATCAGGCTTTGGCACCATGGCTGAGCCCATGACTCTAGCCGCTCTGCCCACACAGCCCATGACTGTGGTCCCTCTCCCGGGCATGACCCCCATGGGCCGTGTGGTGCCGGGGATGGGTATGGGCCAGGTAGGAGGGCCCACCAATGTGGGCATGAGTGCAGGGATCCCCGCCTCCATGTCCATGCCCCAGCCTCTGATGAGTATGCCTCCCCAGGCTGGCTCACAGTCTACCACCAACCCTTTTCTTTTGTGAGGACTCCCCCTGGTCTTCCTCTGACACTTCAAACTAAACTTCAACTTGTATAAGGAGATGTCGGATGGCATGAATCCCTTTATAACTAACAAGCCAGGTGGACTCTAGCCATGGCACTATCTGCGTGCTCTTCTCTACAAAGCTTCATGCTGCCTACTTCTCCATGATCAAGGACTTCCAGAACTCTAGTTTACATGTGTCCAGAGACGATCTCACTGCCGAACTGCTGCTCCTGCCTCTGCCTCCAGGATAAACCTCCTTCGGACACTGTGGTGCTCAGTGGGCTCTTCCTCACAGATGACACGGACACCGATGACCACGAGTCAGGTTATTTAGTCTTTTTACTGAGGAGGGATGTTGCACAAATGTCTCCCATCCTTTCCTCTGACTGTTGGGATCACCGGTACACCTTAGCTGAGGTAGGGAGGCTAGCTTATGTCCACCCGTACTGTTCCCCGAATGAGCATTGGCACAGGGACGTCACAACATATATAACAACAACCGAAATGAGTTCAAACACGTCTTTGTGTCCAGTTCTACTTATGGTCAGTAACTAACCACTACCTTTTTGTATGTCACTAAAAGTAACCAGAGAGGACAAATTATTCACAAACAGTATTTTGATGTGAAAATCATCATTGTAGTTGTATGTTTTGTCTAGGGTCAAAGGGATGCTTCACTTTTCAAATGTCCACCTTCTTCTGAACTAGAAATTCTCCCTATCAGAAGCATAAACACTAAGCCTTAAGTCCCCTCGTGCAGCCATATTTGTGAGACGCTCCGGATATAAAAGGCACGTCAGCCACCGCCGTACTTTGGTTCTGAGTGGATTTACTTGAGCTAATCCGAGTACAAGAACATTATCTCTCAGACAAACACAGTCCCTGAACAGCTCTATCGATAGCACCAGGAATCCTGCTGTGTTTAACGCAAACAATAAACCATGTTCGCACTCCTATCCATCTCCGTTGAATCCCTTGTTTTATCTTAGGTTTTTATTTTTAACATAGATTTTTACTCTGCAAGTGTGTAGTTTTAGACGAGCAACTGTTACCAAAGTCAATAGAGAAGAGAAAAATCGAAATGGTAGGCACAGGCCTCACTGACGACCTTGTTTATACTGTAGATGCACACGGTATTGGAGACTCATTTATCCAGATTTTTATTTCATATTGCGTTGTATTATATCAATTGTTTGCTAGCAGGATAACACGGCTTATACTGACATGTTTCCTCCAGCTACTCAAATATGAAGAGGAGTAATTGCATTTATAGCGTTTAACTCCTGATTGTGTATTTGCCGTTGCTAACATTTGTTCCTAATACAGAAAAGGATCATGCTTTTTCTACTTTCAATGCGAGCTGGTGCACTCTGCTGGTTCGTTTTGGCATTACAAGCTCGAGACTGTTTTAAAAGACCTTTTTCTTTTCCTCTCAGGCAGAACTATAGAAGCATCTCTCAGGGTGCGTCGATTTCAGCGGTTTTGATTGGACACGAATTCGCCGTGGTATTTGCTTATAGACCAGCAATCTATGAAATTTCAACAATTATGCATAATTGGGTAAAAAATGTAAAGGAAAAAACACGTGTAATTGTAGTCGATGTGTCAAAAAAGAATACGCAATTGTATAATTTTTATATATGGGGCTTCCCGGCTGCTAACTTTAAATGCAGTTATAATGTGGCCTGTGCGTATTATTACTAAGAGGACTAACGGACATTCTTAGTTGTGTGTCTATGTATCCTTCACATACTGGGAGCAGGCTGCTTTTCTATCCCTTATTATGCTATAATCTTTGGCATTAAACTGTATAATATAATTTATCATTTGTACTATTGTAACATACTGTTCCTCTGTATACCTTTTATTATTTTGTGTAATGGGATTTTGTAGGAAAAGTCACCGTGGTATTTTACCGGCATAAACACAAGCTGCAGGCCGCACTGATGGATGTAGCAGGTTCAAAAATAAAATCTGTATTAAGCTCTGTAAAGCCTGTGTTATTTTTCTTACATGTAAATATTCATTTGAATTATCATGCAACATTTTAATCACACGTATGAAATCACAATGAAATCATGAGCTAATGAACATTAGCAGAACAAACTGGTGAAAGTAAAATATTAGTTGCGAATACAGAATGTTAGTTTATATAGTTATAAATGTGTTCCACACATTTAACACTACTTGGACAGGCAGCAATGCTGTGATTGAAAATGTTCTGAGAGACCCTATTTTCTACCAAAACAGAAATTTCCTTGAAATGGAAAGTGGTGAGAAATGTAATTGATAAAAACAATAAATCTGCTAGAATTTTGGTCTGGAAGGAAGTCTAGACAAGTGCTGGAAAGGTGTGTATTGTGTATAACAAAGAATTATTGCAAGGGCATTAAAAAGTTAATTCCTCAGATCAGAAAGCTGATCTAACAATGTGACAGGCCATACTTATTTTAAAAAAGTGATAGAACAAAACTTGTTGTGATTGGAAATGTGTACCCCAGCTTTAAACTGGTTCAAAGAAGAAATATGATTATGTATGATCTCGATTCCACATCACATATACTGAGAGAATAGTTTGACGGACAAGAAAAACAACATGACAAACAAAACAACAACAAAACAATTGACCAGTGTAAGTTTAATTAAAAAAGTAGAAAAGCTAATTAAAAATGTTGTAAATTCCATAAAGTACAAATACAAATATAGGATGCCTTATTGCAGAGAGAACTTGCATTATTGAACTCCACAATTGAAATGAATGAAGCACTACAGCGCATTATCAAAAGTGAAATCATTCGGCCGACCAGTCCGTGGAGTATGGCTGCGTGGTGGAAGGCCCAGAATCGTACCCTAGTTTCTTCATGTCTTTAGTCATAATGTTGAAAGACACCGTAACAAAACCTTGGGATCGGACACGGGTTACTAAAGAAAAAACAAAAAGTTAAGTCCACATTTAAATCAAGTTGGTGAGTAAATTTCTCACCTCCACGTCCTTCCCCCTGGGCCACAACTTTAGGGTCTGTGTACTCCGGTCGCCGTCCTAACAGCCAGCTACAACATGAAATATATGTCAACAAGACTGACACATTCCTTCAATCGCTTGGTTACAGAAAACAAATCCACACTGTTTTCTCAGCAGTATTGGAGAAGGGAAAACGTCTTTAGATTGTCGCATAAGAAAAATCAGCTCTGTACCATATAACATACAACATAAGCAATCTCAATGTCAATATTTTGTAGCTAATTTTCACCAGAACAGCCTCATCCATCTACTGTATAAAGCTGTTCCATAATTATGATGTTAAATTACAATCAGTCACATGGTATTTGATTCAGAGCAATCCCTGACTGGGTAGGCTAGGTATTATCTTCACCTTGTAAACCTCTGTAATCTCCATGTGGGTTCGGGAACAAACATTGGAATCGTCCTTGAATGTCTGAAAACAAAAGATAAAATAATTTTAATGCGTGGAATATTACGTTTTTAGAAGATTACGAAGGTATTCATTTGTGAATGTAACTTTGCTTTTGTCCTGATTTAATTCAGAAAGACTTACTTTCCAGGTGTTATGGGAATATGTGTCGCTCCATAGCCTCGGACCACATCATTACCAAACACATCTGGACCATACACACTCAGAACCAGCTGAGGCCCTTCAAAAGAAAAACAGATCTTTCGGTATTATATTAAGACATTTAGTAATGATGTTAAGTTTGGAATGATAAAAGGTATATAGGAGGATTTTCTACTTCTGGGTGGATCATCAAGACTATTGGCCCTCCTAATTGTGAATCATTCTGGTGATATGTGCTCGTCAAATAAAACCAGAGAGTTTTGTTCAAAAAGTGAAGAGGGCGGTTCTTCCCTAAAATTTGGGAAAATCCTCCTATATACCTTTTGAGTTAACAGAAACAGCATTCAGTAAAAAGAGTTACATTGATACTTACAGCCACTCGGGCTTGTGCTTTTAAACGTCGTCTCCAGGGGAAAGTTCCATATTAATTTATCTGACAGGCTTCCTTTGCAGGTGATTTGTGTGATGCCCTCCTCCAGACCCTGGATTGAAAGGATACATTAGTTAATCAAATAAAGCCATTTAAAGAGTTGAGAGGATGTCTAACTTGAAGTTGATGAAGAGGATAGCAATCACATTTTTCTCACTTAGCCAAAAGTTCCCAGCCTAATGCATTAAATAGTGACTCACAACGCTCTCTTAATTATGCCAATCTTTTTTTTTTTATAATAAGACTCAGGCAACATATTGTGGTCTGATTTGTTCTCAAACTTTTTCTTTTCCCAGACCGTTTCTATTGGGACTAAAAATTTGATGATTAACCCTAATGGAAATAAAGTTTTACGTTTATATGCCAGTTATCCACTTAAACGTATTCATTTTCCTCTCACCATTAGCCTTTATTCTGTAAAGTAGCTACAAACTCACCGATGTCGGAGTCCAGTCGTGGCCAAACACATAACAGTATTTGCAGTACAAGTTGTCATACTCGGGAAACTAGAATGCAATATAATCGTAAAAAACACTCCAAACCTAATCATAATGATAGAATGCTAATGCTAGCCTTTGCTAACTTGACTTTACCCACATTTGCTCCTTCGATCTGTCCGTTCACCGTGAGCAGGAACACAGACGGGTTCACTGCAGCCATGCCAGAGATAATTACTAATGTGAACACAAAAACATCACCGTTTATCCAGTCTGTTTTAATATATTCGAGGTTAAAAACGCTGAATTCGTTTAGAGAGCTTCCCTCCGTTGCTACGGGCGACGCTTGCTTCCACTACGGGGTTCTGTGAGGCTCAAATTCGCACAACGGAATCGCGAATAGTAAGTAAGTAGGTAAGTAAGTAATCTTTATTTATATACTGCCTTTCACAGACCAGAGTCACAAAATGGTTTACAATTGTTATTATTATTTTTTGGACAATTGTCCTCTCACTCCTCACAGAGAGATGGGAGTAAATGTGGCAGTTCTTCCCACCTCCGCAAGAGGGCGGTAAGCGATAACCCATGACGAATTATATAGTAGAGGTTGCTCATTTTAACGTGAAGCATGATCATTTTCAGCTATCACCACCTGTGAACAAACTATAATGATATACTCAACATGGAATTGTGCGATGGTAAGTTTTGTTTGCGTATCTCTGTATGGTTGTTCACACTTCATAAATAAAGTGTTAGCAGAACGGTTTTCTTTTCTTATTTTAGTGTACAATAGACATTTTGGAGTGACTAGCATTTTACTTTGGACTAGAGCAGAGAAAAGGGTCCGAATCAAGGGGGTACTCCACCTTTTGACCTGTCCTGCTTCACCTAGTGGCTACTCCATCTCTGCTGCTGTGACCCGTCCTGCTCCACCCAGAGGCTACTCCACCTGTGCTGCTGTGACCTAAAGGGCTGTTGCTGATTATTACCATTATTATGTTTTTAGAATAATCAATTTTTATTTTTATTTTTGCTGCTACTGGTCAATAAAGTATCTATCTATCTATCTAGAGGGACAATTGAAACATAACCCCAGTATGTAAGTGTAATTTGTAGCTTGGAATGCCACTGTATTGCATTAATTGACCCTATTTGTCGTTTAAATAGGTAACAAACCCTAATACGTACATACTATTTATTTAATATGCCCATATCTATTCCTGATAGAACTACAAGGGCTCAAGCAAATATATACGTTAGCAATCAAGCTATTGTAATTTTGAATGTGGAATCACTGTTGGTACTGCAAATGTCTCCCTTCTCCACAGACTTAATGGAGATTTTTGAATACAAACCTTTCTATTCAAAGATGAGGCCGATATAATTTTTATACACTGAAAATGAGTTTGGTGTAGTAAGACACAGATCATTATTTTTATTTATTAGCTTGTGCTTAGAGCTCCATCTCTCTATATTTGTTTATGTTTGCCCACCTGTCCAAATTTGTCTTTCAATTGTTTTTTACCTTCTGTCCAACCATGTATTCCAGTAAGTTGCTTTTTCCTTGCTGCCATATTTCTCCTACAAGCTGTCCACCTCAGTCTGGTCTTCTCCTCTTCATCTCTTACTACGTGACCCCTTTGTTCTGTCTCCATCTCCACAGACCTCCCGCTCGTGCCAAATGCCTGATTTAGAGTTTGACCAGCTGCCCATTTTCAGCTCATCGGGGGAAGAGCTGATCCCAATAGCCAGGGTCAACTAGTTCAGCTTGTGAGTTCAAGTACCCTCTTGTTTGTAGTTTGTAGATTATAAATGATAAGTAATTATGTAAGTAATCTTTATTTATATCGCGTCATTCACAGACCACAGTCATAAAGCGCTTTGGAATTGTGGGCATTTGTCTCTCACTCCACGCAGAGATGGGAACGAGGTCGTCAGTACAGGAGGCGCATGCCAGATCTTTTCTACATGTTTTTGTGGTAGAGGAAACCGGAACACCCGGAGGAAACCTACGGGGAGAACAGACCGGGATTAGAACTCAGGACCTTCTTGATTAGAAGCGAAAGTGCTATCCACTAACCCGCCAAACACTTTTCCCCCGCTAAATATGTTTTCGATTTTCAAATGAATTTATTCATTGTCTGAGGTTTTCCCAGACGTAATGGCAGCCCAGGAATTTACAGGAACTAAAGGCCTTTTGCCAAGACAAATATGCAGCTTTTTCACCAGTGGGGAGAAAGAACCCAGTTGTAATAAATGTTAAATGGGCAATACGAACTGTGAGAACTGGTGGATGAAAACTTCTAATCGGATCAGAAGGTGTAGTTTCTGCTGTCATTATTATTTGAAGATATAAAACTTGTATATACATAACTTAAAAATAATAAATAATAATAAATATCTTACTTTCTGGACTATAAGGCACACCTGTATATAACCCACACCACCTAAACTTCAAAAGATTATTCCCCCCCCCCCCCCACATATAGGCCGCACCAGATTATAAACTGCAGGTTTTCATGTAGTAATGTAGCAGATAGACGACTGTTTTAACTGGTCACAACATGATTTAATCCAATACAGTTTATTTATAAAGCACTAATAAAACCAACAAGGTTGACAAAAGTGCTGTACATAACAAGACATACAATTAGACAATACAAAGCAGTGGCAAAAACATACTATTTACAGCAAAAAAAATCAACAATACAAAATCTATTAAAAGCCAATCAGAACAAGTGAGTTTTGAGACGAGACTTCTAAACAGGAAGTGAATCAGACAGTCTAACACACAGGGGCAGCTCCTTCCATAATGTAGGACCAATAACCGAAAAAGCTCAATCTCCTCTGAGTTTCCGTGTAGTCTGAGGAACCCCAAGCAGATGTGCCGACCTGAGAGAACGTGATGGATTTAATGATGAGGTGTTTAACAGCTTAAACGTCAGCTTCCATGACTCATTCACCAGTGCATTTTCACAATATTTGAGTCTCCTTTAGCTACGAAAACTTGGATGGAGTGAAAATAATAAGTGCATAAGCTAAGCTTTGACAACTCTAACGCAATAAGTTACACATATTGGCCACAGGGTTAAAAAATACAGTAATATAAATAGCTTCACATAACCACTAACAATGTGTGGGAAAAGGTGTTAATGTTTTTATTCATAATCTCAGAAATATGGGCAAAAATATCATAAATCTCTAGGTGTTTAACCTTTCAACCACAACATTCTTAATCAATACATCCTTGAATCAACCTGAAAACTGTCTTTGGACCGCCACCTTCACGCATTTACATGTAGTAATTTAAAATAATAATATATAGGCCATAGGGCTGCACAATATTGGAAAGAAGTGTCACATGTTAATGTGTCAAGGACTACAATAATGATACATGATATTTTACTTCCTCAAAGAAAACAAAATGCCTGGACTACAGTGTTTGCTCACCTCTTCTTCGCCATGTTGTGTTTTGTTCTTTCCAGCCGCTGGACCAACCAACCGCCTATCGCTCTTGCAGCAAATAGGAAAGTTCATGCATAGAAAAAACATTATTTATAACATGATTGCGCATCTTTGCAACTTCATAATTATTCTCCTTGCTTTTAGCACAATTTTTTGCGATATATTGTTCTTCCCTTCTCTGATCTGCGTCGCATCAAACATTGATGTTTCTCTGAGTTTAGAACGACCATCACATTACGCACAAGTTTTCAGTTTAGTAAAACAAAAAGAGCCAGGCATTTTCTCTGAAATCACTCTTTATCCACACTACACTCATAAGTAATGGTGGCTTTTGAAGATGACTTGTAGAAGTGTGGCTCTCAGATGGAGGTTAATGTCTTGAGGACCATGGGACTAATAGTCTGTGACTGCTGGTTCAGCGACTGCGCTCGTGCGAGGAGACCAGTAACCCAAACACACAGTTCGATGCACATCGAGGAGAAGAATTGTAAGAGACCACTTTGAATGTTAAGCGGATCTAAAGATGTGACGGAGGCCACTTTCAAGACGATCTTAGCATGCAGGTTTACAATGTGATGTTATTTTGATTCCTTTGTTTGTTTGTTTCCTATTTTTCATTTTAATTCATTTCTACTTTTTTTAGGGCGACAGTAGCTCAGTTGGTAGAGCATTGGCCTTCAGGCCTGAAGGTCGTGGGTTCAATTCCCACCTCTACACCTTCTCCACCGACTTCCACTGATGACTGCTGTCGTTGTGTCCTTGGGCAAGACACTTAACCCCACTTTGCCCAAAGCCCCCACTGAAAGATCAAGGCTATGCTCACACTCAGAGAGCAGCCGCCCTCCTGTGGACTCACCACCTGCAGAGGGTCAGTGAGGCTGGTGCTATGAGACTTGGGTGGCATCTCTGACTGCCACCCCCCTGACCCAGAAATGGATTAAAGGGTAGAAAATGGATGGATGGATAGATCTACTTTTTAACTCTCCCGGGTCTCGCTTCTCAGCAAGGTTCCTGGGTTCAATTCAAACTCCAGACGAGGCCTTTCTGAGTGAAGGAGTCTGAATGTTCTCCCTGTGTCTGCTTAGGTTTCCTCTGTGTGCTCCCGTTTCTCCTACCACTAAAACATGTACAATAACTCCCATCTCTCTGGGGCCAGGACTTTCCTGAAAAAGAGATTCTGAAATCTCAGTGGGACTTTGCAGGTTAATTAAAGGTCAATAAATGTCTTAACTGCATCTACTTACAGCGATACCAAGGATGGAGAAATTATGGGAACAGCTGAACATCTATACAAGTGTTTGATGTAAGTAGAGGAAAAATATTGGAAAAAAAAAGGCTACATTTCCGTTAGCCTTTTTCACATTGCCAGAGTTTGTTGCAATTTAATGTCATGAACAGTGGGGCGGAAAAGTCAATATTTGCATATTTTATCTGACATCTATTGCTGTTGCCATAGAAATTGAAAGCATATACTGTAGTGATGAGGAAAGTTCTCATGACGTCACCTATGCGAGGTATGTTCTGAGCCTAATACAAGTCTACGTCCTCCTCTCCATGGCATTCACTTACTTTACTTTACAGGACAAGCATCACTAATTTGTCATTTCGAGATTATTGGAGGGCCCGGACCCCCCATGGGCTCCTGGACGTAGCCCCCTCCCTGCACGTACACCGGGCTGGCCTGCATGCTCGGCGTGCCGTAGCCGCCGCTGTTGCTCTGTACTAATCCGTGGTGAGGGTCGTAGTCGGGGTCCGGGGCCCCGTACTTCTGCTGGGGGGGGCAGCCCTTCATGGGGACGTTGGAGTAGGCAGTGGACATGGAGTAGGACACTCCCTGGTGCTTGTTGAAGGAGGGGGGGGACGGGGCGTCGTAGCCCCCGCTCATGGGGTGCATGGAGTTGAGGAAGCCGGCGGTGGACTGCATGGTGAGGGGGGGGGAGCCGGTGGGGGACGGGCCCCCTGAGCTGGAGCTCAGGCCCTTGGACTTCTGGTCCTTCTTGTACTTCATGCGGCGGTTCTGGAACCAGATCTTGAATCTGTCGCTCCGACAGGTTGAGCAGGTTGGCCATCTCCACGCGCCGCGGTCGGCACAAGTAACGGTTAAAGTGGAACTCCTTCTCCAGCTACACCAGCTGCGCGCTGGTGTACGCCGTGCGCGCTCGCTTCGACGCCGCAGACGAGCCTCCGGTCGGACTCTTCTCTCCAGGACTGGCACTGTCGCCGGGGGCAACGGAGGCTAAACACACAGAGACAGGATTTAATACCACACCACACATAAGTTCACAGACACACACACAGACACACACATAGACACAAACACACTCACAGACACACCCACACACATACAGAGACACACACACACACATACAGAGACACACACACACACACACACACACACACACATAGACACAAACACACTCACAGACACACACACATACAGAGACACACACACACACAGACACACATACAGAGACACACACACACAGAGACACACACACATACAGAGACACACACGCACACAGACAGTCTCACACACACAGAGAGACACACACACACACACACACACAGAGAGACACACACACATAGACACAAACACACTCACAGACACACACACATACAGAGACACACACACAGAGACACACACACACACACACACACACATACAGAGACACACACACACAGAGACACACACACATACAGAGACACACACGCACACAGACACACACACACACACACAGAGAGACACACACACACACACACAGAGACATGCACACACACAGAGACACACACACACACACAGAGACACACACAGACCCAGTTAAATATCAAGTGTTGAACATTATTTATTTAAGAAAAATTGAGACAAATGGTTTGTGTTTGTTCTTCATTTGTAGGAGCCAATCAGAACGCAGCGTCAGAAGAGCCTGGACCAATGAGAGGAGACTAGAGCGAGAGCAGTGAGTGATTGGACGTGAGCGTGGAACCTGTGGGCATTGAGCTTGTTAATAAACCGCGGGGTCCGGCTCTGGATTAAACTGATATTAGTTGTCGACACTTCATAAAGTGTCAGTTATGAGCAGGGCCGGAGGCGGCGCGGAGCTGCGTGGGCTGTGGCCCCCCCTCAGCGCCGCAGGCTCCCGGCTGCACAGGGAGCTTCATTAGGAGCAGACACATGTGGAGCTGAGGTCACGGTCAGTCTGACGGATTACAGTCTTAGTTTAGGAAGCGGATTTACTCAGGCCATGTACATCTTTATTTTTATGTCTTTGACCAGTTTTACGTTTTTTTGGAACTAACTTTCTCTGGCAGATAAAGCCCCTTCTCTAGCTGCTGGTTCTAGATTGGTTCTGGTTCTGGTCCAGTTTGGGTTTCCACCCGTTAGAAGCCAGTACTGGTTACCATAGCAACACACGGTATCCTAGCAGCAGTTGGTGAGAGAGGACTTCAAAACAAGCACAGACTGAAAGAAGTTACATTTTTAGAAAGAGTGTGTAATGTAAGGTCTAGATGTAAACCCCAGCAGGTGGGTTGCATCAGTAATCAGTGTCACGAGAAGATTCCAGCGGCAAAGGAGAATGAGGCAGAGGCAGGAGGGTCTAAGGACATTTCTGGACCGTGCTGATCCCGCTCCCTCTGGGCCGATGTGTCTGATTCTCTGATCTGTTGTTGGTGAATCGACAGCTTCAATCATTCACTGAATTGAGTTGAATGGAAGAGTGCACTTCCTTCTGTCTCTTTAACAATGAACTAAAATGTCTTTTCAACTGAGTCTACACCTTCCCCATTTACATGTAGTGGACAATAACACTAATTAATATACACTAATTAATTCATGTATTTTGTACTTGGATGGAAACTAGCTGTCGAGCCATAATCTGGTGCAGCACATCTCTGTCTTCGACTGTAGGCCCTGTCCACACAAAGTCCAATACAGACCTAAACGCATTAATATTTGATCTTTTATCAATTATCAATCCAGTACAGCATCCAGACTATTTTGAGCGTCTGAAAACGCAAATTTTCTAAAACCAGGTTCTAGAAAGGGATTTAATGTTATGTTATGTGCTTTTGCTATACGGTGTACTAACTTTTATTATTATTTATTTTGTTCACTATTATTTCTTTTAATGGCATCTTTACACCTTGCCCAGGGGCTAAAACTGGAAACGTTTATAGAAATGTTCATTAATATGCATTGTCCCTGTTGTATCCACCATTCTGCAAACATTGAATGCAATATTCTAAAACATAGAATATTGCAAAACATGAAAATATTTTTGTCATTTCCTAGGCTTCTTTCGAGTGTGTCTTAGCGTCACAAATCCATAGTGCTGTGATAGCAAGCACTTTCAACAACATCCTCCCCCAAGGTGTCTTTTTCAGCCTTCAGTCTGAGCATAACGAGCTCTGCACTTGTCCATCTCCTCCCACACCCATCCGCTCTCCTTCTCTACCAAAAACAAATGCTAAAGTTGGTTTCACGCTCTGTGCTTTTTTGATGGACTTGCTGGATTTGTTTGCGCACAGCCATTTTAGTTTTGTTTGTATTTTTCATGGGAACGGTTAAAATACCGCATTATTTTTGGAAGTTCCAAATCGGGACAGGGTAGCGTACGCTGGGATCCCAAGCGCGTACACGAACCAAATGAAGACTTGCTATTTATATCGACGTCAAGATTTCTGTATAAATCTTGCATGACTCCACATTTATAGCCACCAAAAAGTAGTATTCCTCATTGCCAACCGTGCTGTAAGTGAAATCAAACCAGACTTCAGAAACTTTGCAATGGAGACGACAACATCTCAACACTTTTTCATATACAGTACATTTTATTTATGCAGTAAACATTTAGATGAGTGGGTGGTTGATGTCAAGGCTATTTCAGCTTTTACTGAATTTTTATTTGGTTTTCACTCCGACATTCATTTATGGATGTTCATTAGAAATGTGTTTTATTTTTTATTTTTTTTCATTTGACTAGTGCTCCCCCTAACATATTGCAAAACAGAACCCTGTGAATCACTATTTTAGAGGATCAAACAGTGATTCTCAATGAGTGAGTGTGGTCCTCTCTTTTCACCTTTCTGTCTGAAAAAAATATCTCAACTTGTGACAGAGGCCAAAATTATTAATGTGAAAACTAGTTATAGACCCAAACTGTTTTAAGAGCAAGTAACTAGTCAGATGGATTTTACACAGTTGACTTTTTTTGCTTTTTCAAAGTGAGGTATTCTGCTTTCAACTAAATGCTGTAACGATGATAGATTTCTGACCAAAAGAACATTATGTGAAGATTCATTGGGCCATTTTCGCAAGTTGCGCTTAGGTGCTTCATAACACAAAACATTGTACTTTTTTATGTTTGTGAGTGAACAATCTGAAGACCAAAAGGTTAAGGGTCTGTGATTTGGTGCAGGTCAGGTACTTGATACTTGATAGTACATCTGAAATCTCCACTCTTGCGCAGCTATGCCATATGTTGAGAAGCAGATGTCTGGAGCTCGGCGTCTCCACGGAGAGAGCAGCGACATGATCTCTGTTCTGCCCAGCGGCTGACATCACCTCTGCTCCCAGCGCTCCAGAGGCCAGGGGAGCCAGGTGGACCGGGTGAGTGCAGACCGTAATGATATACAAGCCAAAGGAATTACACTTTGGCTCTGTTAATGATATCAACTCGAAATAGTAAGTTTAATAATAAATAATAACGGCTGATATCGTTTTGTGTGGAGCCGATATGATGCCGTTCTTTTGGTATTTTGCCTCTGATTTTATTATCATTATGTGTTTTTATATTTCTTTTATATCAGCCACAAATACAATTGCAAGTAAACAGATCTTGGCCAACTACAGAGGTCTTGCAAAACTTCAATATTGGCCGTTTTATTCGGTTGGTCCCTATTTAAAATGTATAATGTCAATGGAACAAGCAGCTTTAGTCTTATTTTAAGTGCTGTAATTGCCTGTCTTTTCATAATTAATTAAAAGCAAGACCTTGTATGCTTATCGGGTTACAGAACGTCAAATAAATATTCAAATCAAGAATAAAAACGACTTGACCCAAGCATTAATTAACTTATGCTTTTACCATAATGAAAGCTCATTGGCCTGTTACATACATCCTTGCAGTGTGTTATAAGAGCTGGATCATACTTTATGAGAAACTATGCTTTTGATAGTATGGTCGCTGTGTGTTAGTTCAAAAGCACTCTATACAAGTACTTTCCCCACCCCCTCCTCCTGTGAGTGACAGGTAGATTTTAGTCAATCACATCAAAGCGCTCGCTCCCACAAGAAGCAGATAGTTGTTGCCACTCTGTCACTCCTTTGAACACATCTGAAAAGGATGCAGCACAAAAAGGATTTGGTGAGAAAATCTGCAGTATCACATCCAACGGCACTGTTCTGACCCCAGAAGACCCTCCAGCAGCTGCGTGAAGAAGAGACAATTTAGTATTAGTGCTGAAATCTCAGTCCTGGCTTCCCCACCAAAGAAATGATCAATAAATCGAACATAATATCAACCTTAGGAAATCATTATTCATATTTTTTTCACCAGATCAACAGTTTCAGCGCCAAAAAAAAATCATACCCTGTGAACTTTTCCACATTTTGTCTTGATACGACTAAAAAGGCATAGATATTTTACAGGATCATCTCGTGACAATCGTGACGTGAGAGCAAAAGAATCGATGTTTTCTATTTTTTTTATTTTTTTTATAAACACAATATATAAGGAAATGGATGTGTGGCCTGCAAATTTATTCAGTTCCCCTGAGTTAAAACGTTACTGCCCAGATACATAACGTAAAGTTTGATCTTCTTTTTGAAACCTGTATTGTGGTTGCTCTGTTCCGTCTACTATCAGCGTAAAATTCAAACTACCCGTGAGCAGCTTTTATGTTATGTTCTATACTTACCAACTTCTCCTGAAATACTGATAACATCTTATTCTCGGCACAATAACAGACGGTTACGCTCACATCATCTGATATGAAGATTGTTGCTGC